CGGAGGGAGATCTGGTGGCTTCCTTAGTTGCACTGGCCCAGTTCGTGCAGGCGGCTCAGCATGCCTCGGCTTTGCAGGTTCGGCATCCCATCGTGAAGTCGATACTGGGCTTTCTTCCTCGTATCCCGCCAGTGCTAGGGTACGAGTTCACGGACTTCCGCAAGGTGGCGCATCATCCGCAGCCTCTTCGTGGGTTGTAAAAACGGTCATGATGATGAGCATGGTTGTGCGGCTGCTCGCCCCCCGAGCTCTAAAACTAAACGCTTCACCAGTCCTTGTTGCCTCAACATCCTTAAGCGCGGCACTTTCCGTAAACAAGCCCTTAGAAGCCATCGAAACGCTCTGAAACGCCGCCACAGAACGGCCCCTACAACAAGAGCCGAAGGCGAGCGCTCACTCTCCCGCGTCCTCTCCGACGACCTGGGACTGGTGGCGAGCGTTGGCGTGGAGGCAGCCGTGGCTTTGGTGATTTTCAATCGTAATTTGTCGAGTTTATCTATTTAGCTGTCGATTCCGTTTCGAAGTGTTGCTCTGGCCTTTTGGATTTGTCTTGAAGATGTTCTGAGGATTTGTGGGCATCTCTTTCACGGGGCGCTGTTGTGCTTCAGCTTCCTAAACCCTAAACCCTAAACCCTAAACCCTAAAACCCTAAACCCTAAACCCTAACACCCTAACACCCTAAAGCCCTAAACCCTAAACCCTAACACCCTAAAACCCTAGACTCTAGACCCTAAAACCCTAAACCCTAAACCCTAAACCCTAAAGCCCTAAACCGTTTATGCGAAGATCATCTCAGACTCGGGGAGAAGGCGCTTGCTAGCCCCGTGCTTGACGTTCAGGTCCCTTCGAGGCTTCTTCTTTTGACGCCTTATCCTAGGTAGTATCAGGGAGACCCCTTAAAGGGGACCTTTAGGATTTAGGGTAGTATTAGGGAGACCCCTTAAAGGGGACCCTTCTGAACCCTACTTATGGCTCTCTTAAAAAGGGGACCTTATTCAGAGGGTCTATATCCCCAAGGGTCCCCCTAATCCTAACTCCTATAGATGTGGGAGTTTCCGAAAATAAGGAGTACCCATTTTTGGGGTCCTTACAATGAGGATCCTACTATTTAGGGTACTTTATTAGGGTCCCCTATTTTAATTTTTGGAAACCCCCTTGTGATGATGCAAACATGCCTTTAAATTGCTAGATGTGATGATACAAACATAAATCCTGCAGTGCCCATAAGGAGGAGTAGGCCATAGTTCCGATAGTATAGGGTCCTGCAGGGTAATGCAGGTTTTGTATCATCAACAGTAGTAGTCCTAATTAGAAAGATCAATGAGAATTTTCAACGTCGTCAGCATAAAAAAAACGCAACGATGACATTATCACGGCAGCGGCGATAGTAGCTCCGCGAACACTCGATTACGCAAATGACTTAGTAAGAACCTTCGTTCATAAAGCAGTAGTAGTGACTGTGGTAGTCACGTTCATGCACTCTCCTTTTACATCAGTGTCAAAGCATCTCTGTGACATGTGTTGCTGCGTTTGCAATTTGATAGTGCGGGGGCCAAGGTCATTGATAGTGAAGTCGAAAAACGACTTCGATTCAACACGACAAAACATAGTACAACTTCGGAACCGTGATGCACCCGGGCTTCGGGCTTCTAGCCAACCCTGCACCCGAAACCCGAAAGCCCAAACGAGGAGTTCCGGGTTGGCTGCACTTAGGGTTCTGGGAGGGCGCTCTCTTCTACTGTCTCGTCACACGCTCCAGTTCTCGGATGTCGGGTGACAGTTGAGGCACCGCGTGGCTACTTGGAATGGCGCGCTCTCTGGTGTGTTGTGTGTGTGTGTGTGTTTGTGTTTGTGTGTCTCTGCTTCTTTCGTTGTGTGTGAGTATGTGTGTTTGTGTGTGTGTGTGTGTGTTTGTGGGGGTGTTTTTTTGTGCAGGGACGGGTCTAGTCTATCACTGCTAGCGACATTTTGCAGTTAGAAGCCTGGCGCCACTACCACTGCCGCGATAGTAGCTTCGAAGCCAGCTTCAAATGAAAGAAGCAAAGCCCGAGCTGCTCGGACCAGGAGCAGACGGATTCTACCGGTACCATGTGCTTGGTGGCCGCGTGGTATTGAATGCAAGTGAGCACTCTTCCAGTCTTTTCGGCTGTAGGGTTCAGGGCTGCAGGCACCCAGGGTCTTAGAAGTCTCGCGTGGTGCTCCTTGAAGCACCGTGGGCGGGAGGACGAAGCCCCCATACCCTGAGCCTGCACCCACATCTGCTAGATGCGTCCTCCCAAACCCTAAACCCCCAAGCGATCCCAAAGCTAAGTGGCAAACCCTAAACCCTAAACCCGCGCGAAAAAACCCTAAACCCTAACCCAAAAAACCCAAGCCCTAAACCCTACTATAGACGATCCTAAACCGTCTTCAGGCATCCTTGAAGAGGCTTGAAAGAGTTTGCCATCCGCCTACCATCCCAAACATGTAACTTTCGATCCCAATCGCGCGCTCTAGCTCTGAATCCTTTATGAATACTGAGCCTTCTGAAGACCTACCGAAGGGCGGAAGTGCTTTTGTTTGTCCAGCAACTGGTGCGCACGCATCTTTTTCTAGGGTCCCTGGACTGAGGACACAGAGCACAGCAACTCACTCCACCTACGCTCAACACTGCCAAAAAAATGCTGGAAAATCCAGAGCTTTGCTGTTCTGGACATGAAGAAGCTAAAAAAGCTTGTACTTTTCCTTAAAACCAGGGAAATGTGGACTTTGCTGGTTTGCCAGGGTTTTGGTAGTGTAGACTGCAGTGTTGACTGTTTGCACGTAATTGCACCTTGTGAGTGCAAAACTGCATCCCATCAAGGTTAAAGTCGCTATAGCCAGCAAAACGATTCAGAAGCACTAATGATTGACGATCCTAGAACATATCCGGCAACACTCGCCCAAAGGCGGCCAAAGGAATCTAGGACCGACACGAAAACCCTCAAAGGCTCAATGCCTCAACTAGCGCACTCCATCTCATTTCATCTCGTCTTCCTACTACGACCCCTGAATCTTACCCCTCTACGTTCATGTGCACCATCCTGCATCCCAGATGTGCAGCTCGACCAGGTCTTCTACACCACACCTTTGGGCTTCAACAAGTCCGAGGTGCTTCAGGGCTTCGTTGCTGTCAAAGGTTTTGGTTGGGGCCGTGGTTTTGGGATTGCTTTCCTTCGATTCTTCTTTTCTGCCTTCATAGACACGATTCAGACCCCCACTGCGAGCCCTGTCCGGCGTTTAAGGAGCCCTTCTTGCAGAGCCCTGAGCTTCGGAGTGCCGCTGTTGGCCCATCGAAGAGGTGTTGCAGTTGAGGGCAGCTGTGTACTACTCCGGGTTGGATCAGGTCCCATGTGGCCTTGACAGGCCATCCTGGATGTCTTCTTTGCCTACCTCGGTGCCCTGAGGGCACAAGGTGTGGACATGGACCTGTACAAGAGCCTCCAGGCCGGACGGCGAGTTCCCAAGCGTCAGTTTTGGAGGGTCCCAGCACTTTCAGGAATTGTCTGCGGGGTGACTCGGCCTGAAATGTTCTGAATGTTAGATCTTCGTCCTCGAAACCCTTCATCCCATAAACCCTGAAGACTAAGCCCTAAACCCCAGAAGCCCCATCAGCCCAACCCGATAAACCCCATAAGCCTTATGGCCCTATGAGCCCTACAACCTTTACAAACCCGATTAGCCCCTATAAGCTCCACGGTGCTGAAGCCCCGTAGCCTCTGCAAATCCTAAACCCTGCACTCCCGGTAGCTCCAGACACGACCTCATCCTCGCAGGACATGGTGAAGCTGCAGTGGAATTGGAAGCAAGAAGCAGATCCGTACGGGACGCGCGGTTTCGGTCTTTGGATTCTCCTTCAGTGTTGGGTTCTGTTCTGGAAGGCTCTGCTTCGCGCCCGGGTTCGAGGCAGCAAATTCTTCAATCCATGATAAAGCCTCCCGCCCAAGCGTAGAGAGCCTCCCCCAACGGTGCCCCAAACTTTGAATCTTTAGCAGGACAGTGTCGGACCTGGCCGAGGCTGTGCAGACATTGCGGTGGTATATTATTTTGCATCATATCATGTTATATATACTATATTATATTGCATAGTTTTCCTTTGGCTGGGTTGTGGGGTTTCGGGTTTTATGAGTAGAGCGGTCGATCAGTTGGTATTCATATACCCTTACAGTTTCCTATTCTACTCCTATGTTAGAAGTTCCGACCCGGTTGAGACTGTCGGACTGAGTTGAGGGTTTGGGCACACCTGGTTCCAAAAATGTTGAGGGTTTAGGGTTTAGGGTTTAGGGGCCTATAGGATGGGGTGAGGGTTTTGAGTTCAAAGGTGGTGCTTCTGTCCGGGTACTTTCCCAGCGGAGCAGCACCCGGGCAGGTGATGACCAGGCTGCCCAGGGACAAGCTGTTGTCAGGCGCACTGATTCCTAAACCGTAAACCCCTAAACCCCTAAACCCCTAAACCCCTAAACCCTAAACCCTAGACCCTAAACCCTAACAGGATCAGCTGGCTTCGCAATCGGTGCTAACCCCGAGCCGCTCGGCCCTAGCCTCCGAAACCTAAGCCCTTTTTTCCCAAGCCTGTGCTGTTTGCGATTGAAGTACAGTTGGGAGGCAATCAGGAAGTAAGGAAGGGATGCAGGGATTTGGGTGGGGGGGTGGGGGGGGGGCCGAGAGAAAATCCTAGACACGCTAACATCCAGAATGAGCCTTGCAGAGGAACCCTTTCGTCGCGTAAACCTCTTTGTTCCACTTGAAATCTGCTTTTATTTTTGATTCCCCAAAACGTAAACCATACTACTCTTCACATACATCTCAAAAGGCTCAAGTAAACAGACCCGAAGCGCTGATGACAGCAGGAATACAAGCACTTGTTGCTCTTCGCAAATTACTTAGACTTAGCGCCCAAAAGGCTAGCCATGAATTGGAAGTCGCCCTTACAGGCGACTCTCTCATCGAGCAGCCGGACGGGGCATCCACAGATGCTGTCTTGCTCTTGTGGCACCTTAGAGTCTTAGGGCTTAGGGTTGCAGCACCTGGTTGCAGGAAGTTGCAGGTTCAGGATTTGTGGAGAGAGGATCCCGGATGTGAGGCCTAGGCTTTGGAGTCACCTATCCTCCCGAGCGGGTCTTATCCTGAGCAATCCTACCTGCGCTCACTGCCGAGACCCTGAGTGGGGGAGAATAAGCTTCGTGAGTGTTATAACAGTAATAGTAATAATAATCATCATCATCATAATTGTTGTTGTTATTATTATTGTTATTATAGTTATTCTTGTTGTTATTATTATTGTTATTATTATTATGATTATTATTCGTATTATTATTGTCATTATTATTAATTATTATTATTAGTATGTGGAGTGCTTGGAGAGCAGGATCCAAGCCTGCTCCTGGGCCTCATTGAGGACCTGACGCCCGTCCCTCATCCGCTGTTTTTTGTTGCGACGAGGGTTTAGGGTTTAGGGTTTAGGGTTTAGGGCCAACCACAAAATAGCAATGAGGACGATGGTTCTTAGTAGGGAATGGGGGAATGGATCCCTATGGTAGTCCCTTAAGGTCCTCTAAAGTAGTCCCAACAACCCATTCCCCCATTCCCTACTAAGAACCAGACAGATGAGGACGATGGTGAGTAGCAGCACTGGGAGCCCGAATCAGAAACAGATTTTCGGGTGATCTCGAAAGTCACGGGGGCGGAAGAGGCTCGGATCTTGAAGCTGCGACTTAGGCTCTAAGAGTCCCAGGAGAGGGCGCCGTAGCATGACCTAAGTTGAACTGGCAGGTTTTGGTGCCAAAAACAAGCCAAGCACATTCCGCGTAGAAGGCCCGGCTTCTCTCAGCCGGACTCCAGTAGTTTTGCTACGCAGCTCAAATGAAAACTAGGCCGGGATAGGACCCTAAACCCTAAACCCGAAACCCCAAACCCTACACCCGAAACCCAAACCTTGAACCCTAAACCCTAAACCCGAGACCCCAAGCCTTAAACCCTAAACCCGAAATCCCAAACCTTAAACCCCAAAAGGGACGTGCTCCAGTCAAAAAGGTGGAAGCCCCGAGGCCCCAAGGCAACACATCTTTTAGATGAGGCAGGGTTTAGGGGTTTAGGGCTTAGGGGTTCAGGGGTTTGGAGGTTTAGTGGCTTAGGGGTTTAGGGGTTTAGGGTTTTGCCGTCACAGTCTGTCAGAACAGATGTCAACACAGGAACGGAACGCCCTCCAGGAATAAAAGATCTCATGGAGCAGCATTTAGTTCGACGTATGGCAATAAAGCAGAAGAGACGTGACGAACGGTCCCGTCGTCTTGACGGTTCAACTGAGTGATAGCACTTTTTTGCGGACCTCTCAGTCCAACCTCGAGTAGTCCCAGATCAGCCGTTGCAAACGTTGCGGTAGCTGAAGGATCAGGGCAAAGTGCGCTGCAGCCCCTGCTCAAAAAAAGGGGTTTAGGGGCTTAGGGGTTTAGGGGTTTAGGGAGGCTTTAGCCAGGCCCTACCGGTACGTGAGTGAGGCCGAGCAACATGAACTTGGCCCGGGTATCGCCCTCGGGCTTGGGCCGGGGGGCCCAGGAGATGGAGACGGAGCATTATGCATCTCTAGGTTTTAGAGTTTAGGGATCTCTAGGTTTTAGGGTTTAGGGTGTAAAGGTTTTAAAGGGTTGAAAGGGTTTAGGGTTTAGGGTTTAGGGGGGGCTTTGACGGCTTTACTGTAAGGGTACTGATTTTCATCTTTGGTTCGAGGGCGGGGAGTTTCAGGTCGAGGGGCCTGCTTTGAGGGTTCTTTTCTTTCCATCCCGCTGCAGGCTGGGGGCGAGCGTTGGGCATTGGGGCTTTGGGTTTTGCGAGCTCGGGCTTGGAGGCACTGAGGTCAGGTGCTCTAGAGGAGTATCTGTTCAGTTCTGCGCCAGACTTGAGCTGTGCACAGGTGAAGCACCCCTCAAGGAGGTGGGCAGCAAGATCAGGACCGCACCGGGATGATGCGCCAGGGGATAGATGTTCTGGTGCGCAGGATTTCAGACTTAGGCCAGTGGGCGCCCCGGCGCGTGAGAGGGTTTGAGGCCTCACGTCAGCAAGCCCCGGTGATGAGCCTGAAGATGCAGAAGGCCGTATCAGCCTCCCCCAGGACGCTGCAGTACTATGACGCCCGTGCCTGACACAAGGGCTCGGTCATGCTGCGGTCCATTAACCCCGGATCGACTCAACCCCGAAGCGCGTGAAATGTGTGGCCCTTCAACCTTGAGAAATGAGATTTGAGCTCTGATTGCTGGAGCGAAGCTGCCTGACCCCCTAGGCCACGAAGCCTCGGGACCCGATTATTCCCTTCACATCCATAGACAAAATGCTCCATCCGACAAGCGGGAACCAATCGCTGAGGCAAAGTATGTCAAGCAGACCCTGGATGAGGCCAGAGAGGGAGTGCGTTTGGATATATATATATATACACACACACACACACCGTATAACATTTTAATATACTGTCATATATTGTATAATATATTTGGATGTAAGACCCAGCCACAGGCCGGAAACGTTTTTCCAAAGCCGGAACAACAAGTCAAAACCTTGAACCTGCAGCTTCCAAGCCGATCCCAACATATCAAAGCGAATCTGGGGGGTCTTGTTGAACATCAAGCTTCCTTGATAACCCCTCCAGTCACATGCCGCACTACGCTTAAGGAGGTTATTAACGGAGCCTAGTTCATTTTCAACCAGAAACATCCAGAAACCCTGCGCCCCTGCGCTCTAAATCCCTCCCCATGCAATACGAGTTTCAGCGTTGATGTGGAGTGCAACTTCTTTTGATGAGCTTCCCTGCTTCCCTTGTTGAGTTTCCGAATCAACCCTGCAAGGCCGTGTGTGACAATCTGCCTCGCACCCCTCTTGTGAGACAGCAAAAACCCGAAACCGTTCTCCCTAACCTAAAACCCTAAACGCTAAACCCTAAACCCTAAACCCTATACTATGCTATACCATACTATACTAAACCCTAAACCCTAAAACCCTGAAAGCTGTCCAAAACCGTTAAAGGAAGCCTTCGAGGAACGCCAATCCCTCACTCAGAGCGAAGAGATGGTTAAACCCTGAAAGGATGCACCCAAACATCCTACAAGTAGCAAACACTGGTAGGGCCTTGAGCCGTAAACCCCACTTCCGGAGCCAATGAACCTTATATAATCGTTTGAAAACGAGCCTTTTTTGAACACATCCAGAGTTCCCCATGGACGGCCCTTGGAAGCAGTCTCAACGCCTTCACCAGCTGAAACCTGCACCCTTCACACCAAACCCTAAGCCCTAAGCCCTCAGCCCCAAACCCCTAAGCCCTAAGCCCTAAACCCCTAAACCCCAAACCCTAAGCCCCAAACCCAGCCTAAACCCCAAACCCTAAGCCCTAATTGCTAAGTGGGAGGGAAAAACGCCCTAAGCCCTAAAGACTTGTGCGCAGGCAATGCCAGGAGCCCGAGAGCGATGGAACTCCTGGCTGGACGCCGGCACGGATCCCACGAGGGTTTAGGGTTTAGGGTTTTGGGGTTTAGGGTTTAGGGGCAGCAGTCGAGTCCCTTGTGAAAAGGGTTTAGGGTTTAGGGGTTTAGGGTTTAGGGTGCTTGGTGGACCTCAGCCAGTTTTTCAGCTTTTTGATGGTTCTTTAGCGCACTGTTTCTACGTGGCTTCGGAGCTTTTTGGTTTGGTTTCGAGATCTAGGGTTGAGTTGCTTTTGTGGCTTCAAGTTTTTGCTGGGCTTTGGGGATTCGGGGTTGGGAGACGGCAGATTTAGTCTGCTCGTCCTGTGACGAAACGATGCATATAGTACTTGTTGTGATGCGAAGTCAGGTTCGGCGTTTTCTTGCCAGTGCGAAGTCAGAATTCTCCGAAAAAATGCTTTCCTGGCCCCCCCCAAAACAAGAGCCGAAGGCGAGCGCTACCGACGCCCGTTTTGAAGACCAAGTCTTAAGCACAGAGCTTTTGAGAACTGCGGGGCGCAATGGCGGTGAGAGGGCGAGGACGAGGAATGGCGCACGATGCCCCTCCGAATCCGGGGCCGGATGACGCTGTCCTTCGAGCGTTGTCGCAGCTTCAGGAAGACGGGGACCTCGCCAAGTTCCTGG